AGATGAAAAGCTGAATGCCTCCTCTTACCTGCAGCTCTTGACAACCCTAAAGCCCTTTCACAACTTCCTGTTCCTCTCTGAACTGGGCTACATCCAAAGCATGTGCGTGCATTTATCGGAACGCACGGCTTACATGCAACTGTTGTGCACCCTTGTAAGAGTACAGGTGTGTGTGTGTGTGTGTGTGTGTGTGTGTGTGTGTGAGTGTCTCACCGAGCAAGGGAGGCAGTGAGGGAGTGAGTCAGCGCTGGGAAGATAGAGAGGCTCATTGAAAGGCCTGCGTGGTGAGGTGGTGGAGGAGAGCAGCCAGAACAGGCAGACACGCAGGCACACATGCTGTGAAGTTAGGAAGAGGACTGATAGATCTATTGCGCAGCCACTGCTGCTGCAAGAGTCGAACACACCTCAGGCAAATGGATGGGGAGTGAGTGCGGGGGTACCATTAGTCTTTCGGTGTGTGTGTGAGTGTGCCCTTTGTGTTTGAGTGCGTGGGAGAGGTATATTACATGGTCTTGGAGTGTAGTTTTTATGATGTGGTACTTCAAACAAGGCTTTGCAGTACTTTACAGTGCACACTCATTTACTGAGGGCAAATGTATATACAGATGTACGGTTATGGAGAAACAAGGCATATATGCACATTAGTTAGGTGCCCGTATTGCTTCGTTTTTCTATGCACGGTAACTACACACTTCCCAAACACCTGACCTGTAAGCACACAAAAGCATCATCTCTGTTTTTCTGCATTACCACAACAGACAGCCTCCACTCCCACACTCAGCACTCCATCTCACATATCAACTAGCTTTTGTCTTAAGCTCAAAATCACTCTTTTTATAGGGTGGAACAGTCATTTCTTAAAGAATTATCAAACAAAGCTAGAATGTACATTTTAGGTATTATGAATAGATTCAGGGAAAGCTCATCATGCAAGCAAATCATCGCAACTTGCTTGATTGTCCAATAAGCACTTAGATTTAAAGAAAAAAGTAAAGAACATTGTGTTCCTTAATTCTGTGGGTGCTGTATTCCAAGTATGTGCTGCTTGATAAGAGAAAAACCGAGTGCCCAAAACCACTTTTCCTGAGGGGTATTAAAGGGAAGCACTGTGTCTGTGTTGTTAAGAGATTACTAGTATTCTTATTGAGGCTACTTGCTTGTGACCTGCTTATTTGAGCTTGTCATTACAGAGGTTTGTGAATAAATCCGTGCGTCATTAGCAGCTCACCCACCAAACTTTTCCCTGTCATCAGTGTACACCGATCAGGCATAACATTATGACCACTGACAAGTGAAGTGAATAACCCTGATTATTTCTTCATTGCGGTACCTGTTAGTGGGGGGGATATATTAGGGAGCAAGTGAATATTTTGTCCACAGAGTTGATGTGTTAGAAGCAGGAAGAACCGGAAAGCATAAAGATTTAAGCGCACTTCACAAGGGACAAATCGTGATGGCTAGATGTTGTCAGGATGCGTTGCATACCTAGGAAACACCTGGCACCAGAGTGCACTATGGGAAGAAGGCAAGTCAGCAGGGGCAGTGTAATGGCTTGGGCAATGTTCTACTGGCAGACCTTGGGTTCTGCCAACCATATGGATATTACTTTGACATATGCCACCTCCCTAAGCATTGTTCTAGAGCAGTGTTTCCCAACCACTGTGCCGTGAGAAATGATCAGGTGTGCCGTGGAAGAAAAATTATCAATATGTTTTTTGTAACATTTTGTGTTTGGTGGTGTGCCGTGCGATTTTTCTAAAGTGAAATATGTGCCGTGGCTAAAAGGTTGGAAAATCCAGAGCATGTACACCCTTTCATGGGAATGGTGTTCTCCAATGGCTGTGGCCTCTTTCAGCAGGATCATGGACCCCGCCATAACGCAAAAACAATTCAGGAATGGTTTGAGGAGCACAATAACAGGCTTAAGGCACTAACTTAGCCTCCAAGCTTCCCAGATCTCAATCCATTCAAACATCTGTCGATGTGCTGGACACACAATCATAATAATAATAATAATGATGGATTGCATTTATATAGCGGTTTTCGAGACCCTCAAAGTGCTTTACAATTCCACTATTCATTCACTCTCACATTCACACACTGGTGGAGGGAAGCCACAGTTGTAGCTACAGCTGCCCTGGGGCAGACTGACAGAAGCGAGGCTGCCACATCGCACCATCTGCCCCTCTGGCCAACACCAATAGGAGCTAGGTGAAGTGTCTTGCCCAAGGACACAGCGACCAAGACACACAGAGCTGAGGATCGAACCGGAAACTTTCTCGTTACAAGATGAGCTTCCCAACCCCCTGAACCACGGTCGCCCCCCCACACAAGTCACTATCATCTACGTCACCATCATCATCATCTTTACTGGTTCATACTTTCATTTTTAGAAATTACATATTTGTGCCTACAGTTGGCAGCTTGACATACAGCACTGAGCTCTCAAAAGGTTGAGTCGTTTGAAAGTTTTTTGCCATATGAGCAGGTAACTCTGCCGTTTGAGACATTTGTTTTTTATGAGTGTAAACAATCCAGTGGTAACTAATCTAAAGTCTTTGTTAATTAACTGATAAATTAGTCATTAGTCTCTGCAATGCTTTGTACAGTATATACAAAAGCATAATTATTTTAGACTGTTATGAAGAACATTTTACTCTTTGACAAAATATAAACACCCAAACGTTAGTCAGCAAGTACAAGGTCTGTTACTAGCTTGGTTTTCCAATGGCTGATTCTCTCTTAATAGCACTCTCTCAGAGATGACTGACCTCTTCTCTAGCCCATTTTTCACATGGTTTTGGCAGTGCACTCACTGAGCTGAGCTAAAGACAGATAACACAAAAGAGGGAAGAGGAGATGGAGAAGGAGAACAGACAGGAGGGAGGGAGAGAGACAGCTGCGTGATGGTAGCACAGTGAAGGTAAGCCACCATCCTGACATTTAAACAAGTGTCAGATACAGGGGGTCAGATGAATGGAAACAAGCCGTGACCAGATCGGGGCTGTGTGCCAATTTCGATTTGTTACGAGGAGCGGACGGCAGCCCATCGGGCTTCAGTGCACCTGCCTGGATCGCTTGCGCTTTGATAGCTGCTCACCTTTCGGGAGATGCTTGTCCCTACCATCGCCAAGTATTTGATCAAAGAAAATCAAAGAGAACTGCTGCACTCCAAAAAATAAAAATAAAAATAGTTATGCATTTTGCCATTTTGTCCCATCCCATTTTCTTAAACGCTTGTCCAAGTCAGGGTTATGGAGAGGTTAGAGCTGTCACAGGTGAAGTGCACCGTCAACAGGTTGCTAGCAGGGCATCTTATGGGTTTAGATTTTCCATTGAACATAAAAGAAATAAGTAAATGACAGTATCAATAAATAAATATGTAATAAAATAAATTATATTTTAAAAAATACATTTGTAATTATAAATATGTATTTAAAAAGTACCACTTTTAATACTATAACAGACGTATCTTTTATCCTCTCTGCAACGTTATAAGGTCTTGGTGTTCAAGTGCACTAAGATCATTCACGTTGTAATTTGACATAGATATATATATAAAACAGTTACTGGGAGAGATGCCCAGGCAGAAATGGGAAGCAAAAAACGGCAAAAATCCTGTTTTTGTGCAGCTTTGCCTCACCTCAATTTGCCTTTCAAACACTAAAGAACTGTAAATTTCTCTTCAAGGTTACTAAGCCCTTCGTCCTCAAACTCTTCTTCGTCACCACTTTTCTGTATCCATCTACCTCTCTGTGACTGGGTGTAGACCAGGACCATCCTTTCCACTCATAAAATAAGTCTGCTTATATTTGCTTTTTGGCATCTCAGCAGTCCTGCATTCCAGGAAGGTGAGTTATGGGAAATGCTGTCTCCCACAAAAGCTGGGATGATTTTTTTTTTTTTTTTAGTGTTGTACATAACTCAGGTCAGCTGGACATGGACAACACTAAACATCTAATTTCTTTTATTCGCAACCCAGGAAGATTCAAAGATGTTTGTCTCACCTCTTTTTATACCTCTCACTGTCCCCTCTAATCCACTCTGTTCTGTGTCCTGTGACCTGTAGATATATCCTTGCTACTAACAGGCATCCAAGTGTTGTCTTTAATGGCCAGGCGAACTCACAAAAAGGACCTGCCAAGATAATCAGCCTTTTTTCCCTATCCTCTAAAAGGCAAAGGTTCTTTTCCTCAACATTTTGACCCAGCAGGATATACTCATGTGTGTAACAGGGTTAAGAAGGCAGCTTCACCTTGAAAGGCCACACTTCAGAGCCCGGGAAACCACAAAAAGCAATTAAAAGTATTGATGGAACTTCAATAGCTCTTAAACAGTGCTGCCAGACACCTCGGGGCAAGTAGCACACTAATCTTTTTTTTTTCCTTTCCCCTCCCTCATCCCTCTATATTCTCTTCTCTTTCACAATTTCTTCACTTAAGACTTCACTGGTCTTCATCATTAAAAAATTGATTCCTCAAAAAGTATTTTCAGCCTTGTAAGGCAGCTGACCAAGGTTCTAAGGAGATGAGTTTGACAAAGATAATAACTGAAGTTTATCTAATCTTTGCTTGCTTGTTAGCCCTCTAATTGGCTGCATATGTTCAAGCATGTAATTGTGTGTAGTATGTGTGCCCCAGAAACAATTTCAAATGAGCCAGTAATGTCATTATTTCATGTGCATTACTGCGCGGATACTAATGGAAACACCCTTTCCAAATGATTGTCATCCGTACGACAAAGCAGGAAATCGAGGAAGAGATAGGGAAAGGCTAAGAGTGTGGCTCCCTTTCTAATCATCCTCTGAAGCAGGCCAGCGCCTCCAAGAGCAAGATGTTTACCTAGATCCTTTTTCTCACCAGATCACTGATTTACCGTGTGCACCTTTCTCGGCCGATGTCTGAAATTTACAAAAAGGTTTGGACTGCGGCTCCTGTGACAGGACACCCACAGAATGACAGTCAATGCACTTAAACAAGGCACAAAAACTAGACACTTACCTTTGCACTGGTTAGTGTTCTTATCCAGAATGGCCTTGGTTGACACTATTTTCCCATACCTGTAAAAACAGAGAAATCTAATTTAGCGTTTTACACTCGTAATAACCCACAGGGCCTTCGCCTGGTCGGACAGTTCATTTGGATTACCAACCTGTGGTTAATATATTTGCCTTATTTTCTATACTTTGCCATTTAGTTACAACGAGCAATTTGCAAAGTCACAGAAATGTCAAAAGCCACTGGGAAGAGAAATCACTTGAGGTTAATAAAATTATGTGTATGGCTGACTTGGAATGAATGGGCAGCCCTTTGGCATTTCAGAGAGTCACTGAACATTATAAAAGGTCTAAAAGCATGCAAGTGCAATAAACGGTCCTAAAGGTTGCTCTTTTGGTGTAAAGTAAAATTCATGTGTTGCTAATGAATTTATTTGAAATCTAAAAACTATAAAGCGAACACATTTAAATCAAAGGTGACTCAAAGGAATAATGATACGTCTTAATGAGCTTTAGAGGAGCTGGTAGGGTGATATGATGTAACCTTCAGACAAAGACAGTACAGTGCAGTAGCCCCTCCTGCTTCTGTTCTTTATGTTAAGCTAACTGTCTGTTGACTCTGGCTTCAGAGTGAATGAACATACACCACTGGGCCCCTCAGAGCAGCTCTACCGAATACGTTACAATAAAAAAAAAAATATTGTAGGGAAAATTGGCAGCAATTGTCATAACAATTTGGGTCTTTTGGTGTATCTATCGTCTCAGATCTCCCTTTCAGAAAGAAAGTATCCAAGAAAATACCCAAATTTTACCGCTATGTTTGTAAATGAGTGAATAAATTCTAGACTCCCCGTATTCTGGCAGATTCTGTAACTGGAATTTGTGATATAACTTATTCATAAAAAATATAAAACGTGTATGATGCTGGAGCCTATTTGGACCTGTGAAAATCCAATACAAAAGTTGAAATTGCCAAAGGAGCAGGACTGCATAAAGACACCTACGGTATGCTTATAAGCTTACATGTCACTGATGCAGCTCCACGCAAAAGCAAAAATATATTGTATTTCTTTATTCCATGGGTCTATATGCAAAGTGGCTTGCAAGGAATTTTTTGACTGACCTTCCTGACTGACAGACAGCAAGATCTATCTGCTTGTCTCAGCTAAAACTGCAATATGCTGCACTGTGAGCTGCTCTCTAAGTACACTGTGTGCACTAATGTACATGCGGAGATATACTACATGCATGCATGCGTGCATGTGTGCTGATATGTAAGTGGGAACAATTCCCTGTATGTCAAAAGCACATCACAAAGACTACAACAAAGGACAAAAAACAGCCACCCTCATCGCTGCATCTGGGCACACACACTTACATACACTCACACTTATTCTGTAGGGAAGAAGCAGTGGTGCATCCCGGCCCATATTTCACCAGCAGGGGATAATTGTGCCATTTCTCAACGAGTGGCGGAGACTCTATTTATTGCATGCTGCGGTGGGATGGGTGGTGGATATGAACTGATGAGCTCCGAGAGGAAAACTACCAGCTCGCACACACTAATACAGATACCACACGAGTACACCCACACACACATACACGCATACAAACACACAGAGCGACAGCACTCACCAATCAGTGGATTGTCTCTCTTCAGCAGATAAACAGGCCATTTTAGCCATAGGGATTCATAATCTACTGCAACAGAGTGGGACTAAGGTGCAGCGTTTGATCATACCGAGACACTCTCAAGCATAAGCACAAAAGATGAACATGGAACAAGGAGTTTTCACTTGATTAGTGAATGTGGAGAGCTGGGGCAAGTGCCTTCAGCACTCGCTGAACTACAAAGCTGTAAGTAATTTTGTAGCACATTAGAGATACAAATTTAGATTTGATTTTTAAGTATTGATAAAGGAAGTAGGTGGGAATTACCTTTGTGTTCTACTAATACATTTCAAGTCATTTGAATCGTTTGACAGCAAACATCTTCAAAATTAAAAAAGCCTAACTTTTAACTAAACTAGAACATTAAATAAGCATTCAAGACCAGCATGTCAATAACCACATAATCAGTTGAGGCAATGTGTCAAAATTTCCCAGCTACCCTCAGTCAGTTTAGCACCTGCTGAAGGCGGGGGTAACACGTGCTGAAATAATAAGGATGTGAAACTACATGGAGAGCTTTAGTCTAGTTCTCAAATATGAATTATTGGTTTTCTTTACAGCTTTAGTTAATATTAAATCGTAACTAGTCACTAAAGACATCTTAACTGTAATTTAGTCACTGCCCTTTGCGAAAGGAATATTTCAGCGGAATAAGAACGTGTCTAACACCAGCTGCCAGGTCCTATTGCTGTTTCTACTATTTAACAGGTGATTTTTTTTTTGACTGAATTAAACACTAAAGGAGCACAACTTAAACCCCCAAAATAAAAAACAGGCGATAGACTCGGCTAGTCACTGACAGCCTATTACTCGCCCAGCCTTACCAGTGATTATATTCATTCTTACGTCATAGTACTGATTTTGTGCTGATTTACCGCCAAACACCACAGTATATGAAAGGGATTGTTATTTGTTTATGTGCACTTAGGTGTCTGCCCTCCTTCAGTACTTGCGTGAAATTTTTTGTATGCTTTCAGTCTGGGAAGCAGTTAAAAAGCCCTGTGCTTTTGGCACAAATTGGGGGAAAGTTCTCATTAAAACTTTGTTTGGACTCTGGGGAAGCAGGAGACAGTAGCTTTCCAATGCCAACTCATCACTGCTTGCCTCATTAAATGTTAAAGATGGCTCATCAATGGATCCTATCCGCGGTCCAAATACACGCCACAAAGATACTGCAGCGAGATGAAAAGGCAAGAAGGAAGGAGCAAGCTTCAGGCCCATAATGGAAACATATTGGAAATGGATGAAGAATGTGATCAGTATGGTCATATATGTGTCGTGTGTGTGTGTGTGTGGGGCTGTGGATGACCCTGCTGGAGGCTCCTTCGCCTCTCTGCCAGGCAAGCCTGGGGAGGCTTTGATGTGACAGAGGCAGTCCCTGTGAGGCGCAGGTTTAACACTGTGATGCTGCGGCCGGGATGCAGAGCCTGTCTCCACTAATCCTATTTCAATCACTCTTCCAGCCTCTTATCTCTGACTCTGCTGGCCTTCGGCCCTCCCCCCCTCCTTACAAATCTTCTTCTCTTACTTGCTCTCTTTCTGTCTTAATGTCTCTCTACCATCTACCATTTCTCTTTCCTGTACTGTATCCTTATTTCTCTCCTTTTGTCTCTCTTCGCCCTCCTTCTTCCAAATAGAAATACAATGGCAATCATTCTGATGCAACATCGGATCAACCCCAAGAAAAAGAGACACCAGAAATAAAACTGCCTATAAAACAAAGGCTTTACGAGCTATTTTAGGCTGATGAAAATGTACCAATTGTGGTTGATGTAAAACATGTCATTCGTTTGACAGCTGTCTAGGCACTGGAAATGTGATAAAATTGAAGCTGAGCTACATTTTTTTTAGAGGGCAGCTGCATGTGCATGAGACATCCCAGAACGGCATTTCTTTCTTTCTTCTCGCTCTTGCTGGATGAAAGGATCCAGGCGTATTCCATTTCCGTCATCAGAGCTGAGAAAGTGAAGTGCCTCTTTGCTGTACGTGGGCAGGCAGAGAGCTGCCCAGAACCACAACACGTCAGTGTGGTACGTACAAAAGCACAGGAAAGGAACGGGTGGATGGACCACCCAAGTGTTGTGCTTAGACCTTGCCCTCTGCCTCTTGACACACTTTACAAAGTGACTGTGTGTTTGCACGATTACACAACACAGCACTGCCTTGAATAGCAGGTAGGTGAAACCTGAACTTGGATGTGGGACAACCTCCTCACATCTGCACTCCCAGAAGGTCTTTATGCCAATGCTTGGTGAGTTGTGAGTATGCGTTTCTTTTCCTGTGCAAATGAAGGCTACTATAACGGCATATGATAGCCCATCTGTGCATGCATATGAAGACTTGAACATATGCATTACTTGTGTATACTGGGCGGCACTGTTTGATAAAGAACAAAGGAAAAGTAGCAAAAAAAAAAAATTGGAAAAGCAAGGAGTAAAATCAGCTGAAAATTGTATAAAAGCAGCAACACTCTTTTTTTAGGCTTGTTCAGCACCTTTGGAGAACCCGTGTAGGGACTTGGGGCAGGTGCAAAGGCACACTATGGAGAATAGTAACTGTATTCTATCATCTCTGCAGGTCTTTATACAATTAATTAGAATATAGATACTCTAGCTGAAAAAAATATGAGCAGTGAGGATTCTTCCCATGTAAAACCAGATGCAGGAGACACCCACTATCCAGATTTACTGTTTCCTCTGAGCAGTAAATATTACCCCGAGGGTTTCCTTAACCTTAAAAAGCACACTGTCTTATTAAATATGTGTAATGATTATGCCATATTAGTACCCTTGTGAGTTGCACACAGCAGCATTTGAGTACATTAACTCCACTAATTTCCAGCAACAGGCAACAATCAGCTGACTGAACAGCCATATTTTTAAGGATGAGTCCCGCCATAGTAAATTTTAGCAGCTGTGAATTTGGCTTGACGAACATCTGCTTAAAGTTGAACAGCAAAGTATAACACAACACAAGTAGAAGGATGGATACTACAAAAAAAGCCGTTTTCTCCATCTTATTTTGTTCTTTTTCCAGTAATCAGTAAGAATATATGGACATACTGTATTGTGAAATTACACCTATTTGAGAAAAACAACATTACATATAGTTTTATACAGCACATTTTATTTTGTTAAGTCTTTGATGGTAATTCAAAAGACAGGTGTCACTGCGGCAGATGCACAGAGAGGGCAGAATGGGAGAAAAAAGATGGGAAAGAAGCGCGCCTTCTTTATAGTCTTACATCAAAGATAAAAAAGAAAAACAGGATGTAAGAAAGAACCAAACATAAAGAGGATGACAGATGAAAACAGGAAATCTTGGGCAAAGATCACATGCGAGCACTTAAGCCTTCCAGAACACGAGTCATTAAAAGACGAGAGAAAATAGTA